GAGCCGGGGCGGGGGTCCCAGCCCAGCCACTATCGCCCTTCTGTGCCCCCACGGCCCGTCCTGCCAGGCGGGGACAGACCTCAGCTCTGCTGTCCCCCTCTCTGCAGCTGCTGCCACATCCACTGATCCCCCATAGCCACGCCCGGCCTTTCCAGTGCTGCTGAATCGTGATCTACAGTAACATCTCCTCTCCCTTCCTCCCCACCAGGCCTGCAGCACTCTCTGATCCCGACTGTGAGATTCCCCCTCTTTCACTCCTAACCTAGTCGTCTAGTTTTACTGTGTGATGTTTTTCTTGGATGGGACTTTGCTGGGAGTACTTTAAACATACGACATTTTTTCCCACAGGTTGTAGAGATAACATATCTCCTAGTGGTGACAAACATGAAACCTCTCAGTTACAGACTAAAACCTGCTCTGATCTTGACACAGAGAAGAAAGTATCTGTCACATTTAAACACTTTCCTGAATTCTCCAATAATGAGGTCAGCTTGCCGGACAGCTCACCTGCAGAAAGCACGCAGGCTAGCCAGGAAACCCTGTGCTGTGGAATCATTAGGCCTGTGCCTGAGAAGAAACCCCAAACCTCCAGAAGCTTGATGAAGCTGAGGAGACGGACAAAGGCTCTGGTATCACAGGACAGGGAATCAGTGCGTGATGTGCATTTAATCAACACTGATGAAATGGTGAAAAATCAAATCGCCAGTACAGAGGAACTTCGGTCACCAGTCTTCAGGCGAAGCAGTCTCCCAAACGCTGAGGAAAACACTCAAAGAGCATCCAGACCAGCACTTGTGCAGAGAGAAAAAACCAGTTTCACTCCTCCCGATGCAGCGTTAGGAGTGGTACAAGACATGCTTGAAGACAGTGTCCCTCCAGGAGTGCCTGAGCTGTTCCCGTGTGTGCCGACAGACAGCAGCGATGTCTGGCAGCCTGAGTCCCCAAGTGCTGTGGCCACACCTGATAGTCGTGAGCCTGCACGGCTGTGTTCAGAGAACGGTGACTCTGGTTTACTGGGCACCAGTGGTGATGGCAGAAAAGAATCCTCCAATATAATGAAACAAATGGACGGTGAGAGTATGTGTGAAGATCAGGGAGAATTACATAGGCTCTTGGATTTAATGTCAGAAAATGAAGTATTGCCTGCTGACGGAAATAACACTATAACTAATGAGAGCAAAAGCCTTGAAGGAAATCAAAGTGACGCTAATAGCTTAAATCCCTTTCCTACAGAACTTGCTATGGGCAATGTTGAAGAACTGTTGGAGACTCAACAGCTTGAGATTCAGTCAAGAATTTCTCATCCAGAAAAGGTGACAGCTCCAGAAAGCGCACTGAACTCTTGCACGGTGGTTGATGGGCTTCTCTTTCCCGTTGAATACTACGTCAGGACAACTCGACGCATGTCTAATTGCCAGAGGAAAGTGGACCTCGATGCTGTAATTCTCAGCCAGCTGGGCAGAAGCAAGAAAGGTCAGCGAAGTAAGTGCAAGCAGAAAGATGGAAATTCAGGTCGGCCCTCCCAAGAAAGAGTTGAAAATGATTTGGAGTCAGGGGTCGTGCCGTTCCCTTTTCTTGGTGCAGAAAGTGATCCAACAAATTCAGGTAGTCCTCAGAAATCTCTTCCTGCGTCCAGTGGTAGCAACACATCGCTTGGATCGACTTCTCAAAACAGTATCACTAGCACAAAGCGAGATCAGAGGCGATTGCAGAGGAAACAAAAGGGAAGAAGAAAGTCCACCTGCAAACCCCCTGTGCATCAAGTGTCACAGGAGCTTACAGAGAGTTTGGATCTCGTAACGCCAAGGGAAAGCAGTAGTCTGCTGTCAAATGAATGTCAGAGTGAAAAGGAAAACTGTGAGGCTAATCTTGAAAAATCAGCTTCAGATGAGAGAAGGTTGTCTGCTGCTGCAGCTCTTGGGTCTGGAGAGACAGAAGTGACTGGTGCTGTACAGCCAATGAGTGCTGATCCTGCTCCTGGAGGAGGCCAAGTGCTTGGCAAATGCCCTAAGACTCTGTTAGAACAGGTTCAAAATCCACTTCAGAACAGCGATTCTCTGAACCCAGGGAATGAAACTTTCACCAGCCATACAGTAGATCTGGAAGCCGACTTAAGTGTGCGTCAGACTGATAAATATCCAGTGGAGCCTGTTAAGAATCAACAAGTGCAAGGAGCCTACAGGGCTGAGCAGCTCCTGGCGATTAATGTCCCTCTGCGCTGCTCCCTGCGCTCCTCTGCAAGACAGAGAGCCAGTCAAGTCTCAAAAGGTACTTCATCAAATATAAGCACTCCCTAAACCTAGAGCCCGAGAGCAAGGCAGGGAAATGTCGCAGTGGGTGCATGCTCTGCTGCTCATGCCCTGCCATGTTTTTTATTCAAGAAAGTCTTACATGTGTTAGCTGTTTGTTTGGTTTTTTTTTTAACAGGAGATATTTTTAAAAAATACAGATCATTGTGGGGCCCATGTTCTTTGCACAATTCCAGAAACTTCTGCTTCAGCCCAGTGACAGGGAGTGAGCACCAGTGCATGGATGAGGAGGAGGGCTAAGAACTTGTTAAGCTGCTTTGCTGTTGGAGCAAATGTTGTTCACACTGGACCTGATTTTCCAGCAAAGAGATGTAAACCTGTTTCTCCAACTAAGTCTGCGTAATAATGATTTTTTTTTTTTAGCGTTGACAAACATGAAATGCAAAGAGCAGCATTACAGTCTGAGGGTCTGTGAATATTGTAAAAAGAGAACATGTTGGGAGAAAAGCACGTAACAAACTGACCGAGCACTCAGTCAGTTGCAGTCTTTGGCAGTGATATTTTAGCCGAAGGCTTGATGCAGAGCAATTATGGAGTGTAATGTCTTTCCAGAAAAGTGCCACTTCCATGTGTTAAGATGGATATGACTTTTTTTATTTCTTGGAAAACAGATCAGAGTCACACTCTGGATGAGAGAGGCTGAAAAGGCTAGTTGCTGGTTATTTTATAATGTGATGTTCTCTCTTGTATTCTTGTTTTTTTCTTGTCTAGATGAGAGCAAAAGAGGACGTAGCTATCCAACAGGTTCAGAGGGTTCTGCTTCTCTTGGCCTCCCTGCCACGGACCCCAGTACTGGCGGCTCTCTCTTCTCCTTCCGCAGTCTCCAGTGGCTGGCCCCCAGACTGGGTATCAGTGACTTTCACTTACCAGATGAGGAATTTGGACTACTAAAACTTGAAAAATCAGAATCTTCCCCTGTGAATGACTTGGAGGTTTTTGTTCCTAGTGTGTTTGGAGATGGTGTGGCTTCAGAGCACGCACAAGATGCACAAATGAATCCAGAAGAAAAAAGTCTCAGAACTAACTTGATTTTGCCTTTCAAAAATGGATTGCCCAAGTTACCTCATTTGCAAAGCCCAGCTTCCAAGAAGGAACTTTCCACCCATGAATTGCTATTTACTCCCATGGGGCCTGTCTTAGCTGGTGCTCCCACTCAGCCTGAGTCTCAGATTTCCTCATCTGTTTTCCCTGTCGTGGGTGCAACCCCAGCTGTTTTACCATCACTACATGGTGACGTCTTCCCCAATACACCTTCCATACCTCCCTTGCAAGCGAGCCAGCGTCCCTCCAAAGGAACATCTGCCCAGGTCATGGATGATGGGGAATGCGAAGAGTCTGCTATTCCACTGTGCTCGGACAGCTGTGGTGCAGGATCTGCTAGAAAAGAGGAGGAACAAGATACGATGTTTCCTTTGGAAGCTGAAAGAGGTCCTGATAATAAATTTGATGAGGCTGTGGCCTTGGAAAAGCATCAGCAGTCAGAGAGCAAACAGCAGAGATCCTGCAGAGCTTCTCCTGAACAGGTAACAAGCTTTCCTCTTTGCCAGTGGTACTAAGCTAGAAGTTTTGTGGTTGAGTCCCCCTTTCCAGAGTCTCACCTGACTTCAGGGGAAAGACCTCTTTGCATGCTAGCCTTGCATGCTGTCTTTTAGCTGACTTAGTAAATGTTCGGTTTTCACCTGTTGCCTAAGGTCTTTTGACCTCAAGAACAAATTCTTTAAAATCCTGCTTGATGAAACGGGAGATGCGGGTTTCAATGCTTATTGGAGGGCGTGTGTTTGAAACGTGTATATGAACAAAAAGTTTCTGGTACCCATATAGTGTTGGTCTACCTTAGGAAAAATTTCCAGCTAGGATTTGGTAAAGGAGATTAAATGACTGGCATGCAGGACGGGTACTGAGAGAATGACTTGATTCTGAAGGCTGAGAGAAGCAAACCAGGAAATAACCTGTCTGGGATCTCTTGTTTTTCAAAGACACGCAAGTACAAAAAGAGGCGCTCCAACCATAGCTCTCCAACAACTGTATGCAGAGTGAATTCACATTTCTGCCTCATTCTTGCAGGTGCTGAATGTAATTTCAAAGTTGAATTACCCTCGTTCTTTACTTGTTTGTGCAGAAAAAAGGTGTACCAGAACAGTTGACTCCAGTACTGCTTGATGGCCTGAGAGAAGAAAGCTTGCAGCTTATATCAAAGCTAAAGGTGGGATACCGTTGGATAATTGTTTACTGAATCAGTAGCAACTCTTTAATACCAAGTTTAACAAAAATGCACTAAAAAATGCAGAATGGCTAGCTGAACAAAATAGATTGCTGCCTAGTTTGATCAGTTCTGCCTTCAGTTGTGGTAAAGCATACTGAAAGGTTAGATTGCTGTATATCTCCTTTTGACTGATAAAGGATTTCAGTGTTTCTGAATAATGAATGTTTAAACATATGCAAATGTCTCAACAAACAAAACTGCTGCATTTTTCCTCATCCCCAGGTAAAACAATCACAGCCCTTGTACCCTCGTTGCCTGCCCTGTGGCCTCCTGACACCATTTCAGGCACTAACGCACTAATGAGCTCCCAGTAAGGGGGGCTTACAGCACTGGCCAAATACCTATGTTGATGTTCATACCCTTCTGGAACGGAGCCTTGCTTGTACATGCCATGACCAAGGCAAATCTTGCCCAGGACTGTTTGCACAGCTGAGCCATCGGGTCTTCTTCCTGCAGTGGTGTCCTTCCGCTCTCCTCTGTCTTGGACGGGGTAGAGAATGGTTGGCAGCCAAGGAAGCAACATCTGTGGGAAAGCCCATTGAACTCCAAATGACTTTGCCGGGGGCTGGCTCACCTCTAGCTTTTCCAAACCGAAGTGCAAAGTTTTGCTCAAGAAGGAAGCCTGGGGGGTTACCATAACCAGCTAAAAATAATATGGCTGAAGCTGAAAATTTTTTTGCAAGGGAGAGGAGAAGTCCCTTGCTTTGTTCAGTTTTAAACTCGGTCTGTACTGCTGCAAGTCCCATCTCCTGTGTGCAACAAGGGAAGCAAGTGCATGACTGCAGGTAGGTGGCACTCGGGCTTTGTCACGGCTCTGCCACGGTGCCCTCAGTCCTGTCCCAGCTCTGGGCTCTGCTGGGTCTCTGTTGTTTCCAATGACAAGTGACTTTTGTGAATTGAGCCGATATATTTGCTGCTCTGAGAGAGAAGCCCATCAGGCTTGTTTTCCTTGGTGCCTTACTGACATTTTACTCAAAATTAAACATCATGAGCTTAACGTTTTAGCCTCAAATTCTCATCACACTGAATGTCAAGCTTTTTTCTCAGGCTGAACCTGATAACCATGTTCTATCAGAAGAAAACCAGCACTGTTTTGTTTTGGACAGGATTCTTCAAGTTCCTGCGCTGTGGATGTGAGTACCATGTGGTGGGAAGCAGCTGGCAGCAGAAAGCTGTGTGTGGTGACTGCTTCTGAGAGTTCTGTCTCCCTGTGGAAACCTCTGGCATCTGACTGCTGGGAAAAGCTCTATACTTGGCAGCTCGGAGAGGTATGAACACAATCCTTATTTCCAGAATTTAGGGCAACTTTCTTGTCCCAGTGTGTTAGTTCCCAAGATACAAGGAGCTTGCAGTCTTGGGTCCAAGGTAAGTTCTTTAGGTGGCATGAATTTTTCATTCCCTCGGGCACAGAGGAGAATGGTTTGCACTGCTGATGGAGAAGGCCGGTAGCTTGTGTGGTCGCGTGTTATCTGCTGGAATTTGATACTTCATGTACTGAACGGTGGCTGCACTACAGCCACTGACTTGTGCTTTTTCCCCTTACACTCCCTGGAGACGCTTTTTGTCTCTTATATCAACAGGGATTGTTTAATTAGGTAAAGAGCAGAGAGTTCAGCTAATCTAAGTGTGGTTCTTCAGAGGGATCTGAAAATTAGTTCTGCCCCATATCACTTTACTTGAAACTCTAAAAAATGGGAATAAAGTTGAAGGGACATTGTGGGTGACACTGAATTCTTGTTTTGCTCTCCTAGATTCCTGTAATACAGATTGTTCCTCTGCCAGACACCTGTAATCTCGTGTGTATAGCATTGGGAGATCTGGAGATTGGAGAAATAAGGTGTTGTATTTATTTCTTACTAGTGCTTTGCATCCTGAATAGCTGCAGCTTAACTCTCCTCTTGTGTAGTGGTTGAAATTATCTCTTATTAATGTGTCACTTTCTCAGTTGCTTTAACAGTTGGAAAATATGGAAGGGATTTCTAAAAATCAACTATAAAGACTTGCTTATTCGCCCCTAGAGGTGGTAGACTGTTTAAACATGCTTATTTTTATATGCTATGGCATGTTTGAGTTACGGTTCTTTCTGTCATTAGGCATACTTTTCTTTTCGTTTAGGCTCCTGCTTTATTCTTCTGAGAATGACTCTTTCAAGCAGTCACTAGTAAAAACTGGAAATATAAAAGCTGTTCTCGGGCTAAAGGATAGGAGGCTGGTCAGCAGCAGCAGGACTGTGCAAGAGCAGCAAGTAGAAGTAGTATCGCTTTCAGAGACAGGGAGGTGAGTCTGCTGGTTTTGGGGTGGTCTCAGCGTGGCAGGTGGAAGAAAAGGAAACATCTCAGGTGTAGAAAAGCGTTGGGTTCTCTCTGGAGATGTGCTGAGTACAGAACACATACTTATTATTTTGACTGCCTTTTTTCACTTGCTAATCTGCTATTCAGGAGCAACGATGGACAGACTTTGATGCCCCCCGAAGAAACTGTTTTAGCTTTTGCTGAAGTAGAAGGAATGAGAGACGCCTTGGTTGGCACCACTGTGGTGAACAGCATTGTTGTCTGGTCAGTGTTTCCTTTGCAATTAAATGAGGTAGCTTGCAGATGTATGTGGTGGCTGTAATGGCTAGCTGCAGATGTTATATAGGGGTGTTGGTTGGCAGCGGATTTGAAATTATAATTGTCAAAGGGCCTACAGTCTGGCACTTTAACTTCTGTAGAGTTGGATAGATAGTGAATAAACTCTACTGCTATAATTCCACTTGCTTTTGCATCATATGCATTACATCTCTTCCTGTGGCCTCTTGTGTCTTAGTTTGGTTTATGTGAAACCAAAACTGTCCATCTTGCGTAGTGGGGTAACTATGATTAGAAAATAACAGACAGAGGATGGAAATGCAGTTAGAATTTGTATTTTCATCAACTGCAGGAATGTGAAAACAGGCCAGCTCCTGAAGAAGATGCACATTGGTTATTCCTACCCAGCTTCAGTCTGCCATCGAGCATATTCCGACTCTGTACGTATGTGAAATAGGGCGCACAGTTTACGCGTAGACTGCACTGACTAACTGTGGTGGGGACTTAAAGAATTAGGCTTTCTAGAGTGGATTGAAATAGCAGCTCTGTTTAGATACACTGAAGATACTTCAAAGGAAAATAGGTTAACTAGGAGAAATAAGCCACACTTGCTACCTCGAATTCTTGGCTTTCTGCAGTGTACTAATAAAATGAGAGTGATGCATCAAAGTGTATTCCAAAGCAGCAGCATCTTGGGCGTGGGAAGCAGAAATACTGTTGCCCAGTGCTGGTGCTTGGTAAGTCTCTTCCATTTCACAAGTGGGTAGCTGCCAGCGTGGTGATGGCACGTTGCCATTGTCGGAAAACCTATTTGAAGTGGTTATTATTTACATATACCCCCCAAGGGTATCAACTGATGAAACCCAAGATTCATACTAATGATTCTTTGCCACTTGCTTCCACTTGTGCTATGATTCCAGATGGATTTTTGTAGTTTATCAAGGATTTGATTGTTTTCAGTGAGCGTTTAACCTTTTGGGGCAAGAATGTCTTGTCCGATAACGATGGCTTGAGTCAGACTTCCTCAGAATATCTGTCCCAGCATGTTTTGTGCTGGCCAGTGGCTGTTCTGAGCTGTGCTGGTTTGCATGGAACTCTTGTTACATTTATAAGCTCCCAGGGATTAAAATGAGGCCCAGAAATTTTACTTTAAATGTCACCTCATCGTACAGCAAGTTCAGCTTTTTCAGGCAGAAAGATAAGTGCATAAATCCATTGGGTCACTGAGATGTCATTCTGTATTGCATCAGCCCTTATCAGTCAGCAGCTGCTTTGGTTTTTATCTAATTTGATAAGGAAAGTAAGCAATTTCTTTTTTATTCAGTAAAAATAATGTGTCACTGTCCATGGGGCTTTGATTATAGAGAGAATGTAGCAATTAATTTTTGGAAAATTCTTTGGCTTTTTTTCCCCTCTTGCTGTTGTTTTTAGTGATGTATTTTTCCTCTGTCTATCAGGGCCTTCTGTTTGTTGTTTTAAGTCATCCACACGCCAAAGAGAGTGAGTCCTGTGGAAACCCCGCGTTCCGCGTGATAGCCTTCAACCCCAAAACAGCCAGGAGCACGGGAGTCATGTTCTCCTCCCTCCCACCAGGACAGGCTGGAAGGCAAGTACCTGGGGGACTGTGCGTGCCGGCTTCGTAACTCCTTCGAGGTGGTTTTGGGGGGGGGGATCACTTAACGAGCCCCGATTAGCCCTGCTGGCGAGGATCCATTTGCCATCTCGCTGATGATAAGGGGGCTGCATCCGTCACTGCCGTTTGTCCTGTACATAGGCTGGAATGGGGCGAGGGTGTTGGCCGTTTCCTGCCCGCTTCCTGCGCCAGTCTGCGCGCTGACCTCTGAGCTCCCGGCGTCACCGCGTGGCGAGGGGCTCCGCTCACCACAGCGAACAGCAGCGTTGATTTTCTGCACGCTGTACGTTTTTGTCTTTCTCCCCCAACAAAGTAATTGTGGAAATGCTGTAACCAGGTTCACCAGGTAAATTCCCCAGGCAAAAACCCCTGAGAAAATGTCTGCAAATGAGACGTTCTGAGCTCTTGTGCTCTTAAAAAGCACTTTGCTAGATTTATTTATGTTAAGCAGCTGTTTGCAGTCAGATGACCTTTTCCTTCCTATGTCTTGCATTTTGAAGACTAAGCTGTTTAAGACTCAAGTCTTGCAATGCCCTTACATCCGTCATCGTGCTTCCTACGTGCACAAATATTAGTGGACTGAGATTTGGGCTTACTAAACAATTTTCAAGTATGTACAGAGGCTGCAGCAGGATTGACATCCTTTGTTCTCAGGTGCACTCGAGATACAACATGGAACATAACCTGGCTTCCTACAGTTGGATTAAATTTGCTTATTAATTTTGTACATGAAAAATGTGCTAATTTTACAAAATGATGCAATAGTGTTTTCACAGACAAATTGCAGCATTGTAACTGTTCGGTGTACAACCGTAGGTACCTGGAGGGTGACGTGAAGGATGCTTCTGCCGCAGCCGTGCTGACGTCGGGAGCCATCGCGGTGTGGGACCTGCTGCTGGGACAGTGCACGGCCCTGCTGCCCCCGGACCCGGACGGGAGCTGGGCACTGGCCCGATGGG